ATGTAATTACTGATTTCAAATGATACAATTTTTAGTGCTGTAAACATATTTTAGTTATTAATGTGAAAACTTGAAGAGAAATGCTTAAGGATATGCTTAAACCTGGGCTTATATTAAGTGTGCCTATATGAATTTGGCAATAATTGGTATTTCTTGGTTTTGTTCTATATATTTAATACACATTAATTCAGAACTTGATTTCATTATGAGCTTGAGAGTCAATTTTCTTGAATGACCATCAGTTTTGATGTGGGAACTTAGATTTTATTTGGAATGCAAGAGAAACTGAAATGACTTTTGAAGAGTATATACGGAACAGATTTATTTGAAATATGCACTTTAAAAATCTACCAGTTTCTTTAAATACAGCATTTCCAAATCCAGTATCACAGATTTTGTTATAAGACAGCTATGCAAAGAGTTTTGTACAATGAGAAATAAAAATTTGACATTTCTTGTTAAATGACTGTCCTGTTAAGCTTAACCACATGTGGTATAGTCCATCCAGTCATGTTTTGGAGAGTGTTCATTATTCAATAAAGTTTTGATTTAGTATAAAAAAATGAAGGAGGGAGGGAGCGGGTAAAATGATGCTGAAAAGTAAAATGAGGACTGAAAACATCCATTTGATTGAGTATCCTGGAGATAACAGGAGGCCTTAGAAAGAACTGTTCCTATGGGGCAGCTGGGACAGCAGCCTCTCCAAGATCTTAGCAACTGTTCATGCTTAAATCTGTTCCAGCTCATCCATGGAAGAAAAAGGAAGAATCTGTAACTACATTTTCCAACAGCAGTTTGAGACACAGTTGAAGCCGGATGAAACTGGCAAAGAGGAAATCTCTGGTCCAGTGCATGGCTGAGAAGACTAGAGGCTGGCAGTACAGAAAGGCGCAGGGTCGCCACCTGCTGGCCAGCCAGAGTGCCAAGCTGCATCCCACAGCCACACTGCTTCTTCTGGCCATGCCTGCTGGCGTTGCCTCTTTTCATACTTCCTTTCTTTCTTCCTCTGTGTGGTCAGTACTAAATGGTTGTTTATTTTTGTCGTGTATACATACATACATACACACATCATATACATACATAGTCACATATGTATACTTACATATAATTTGCAACTATTAGCTAGAAAGCCTCAGCAGGGTACAGAACTGGTACATATTATGGTCCCCTTTGAAAATTGCAAAGTATTATTTCGACAAATTTGAGTAGTAATGGCTACTGCCTCTAATCTTCATCTCATTGATTTACATTCACAAAAGCAATCTATTTTCTAGATAGCTTCCACAGTGAACCTATGAAAAGGGAAATGAGATCATGTTACTCACCCTGTTCAAAACTTCTACCTGTAACATGTTTCTCCTACATCTGTTGGGCTTCTCTTGTTTTATTCAGGTCCCTTCTGATATGTCAATATGCCATCTTACGTATGAGCCCGCACCCATGGCAGGGACAGGGCGGGGAGGGATTGACCATCAGCACCAGGAGCACAGCAGTGTCAGGTAGGAGAGACCGAAAGCAATCCCTCAGGCCATCATAACAGCTAACTGCATTTGGAGGACTCTTGTTAGGCAGAAATGGCACTTCAAGGGCCCCCAAAACACAATCAGGGTAAAGGGAAGAGCCTGTGAAAACGGTGATGGAGATGTGTGTGATGTGGAGGGTCTGCGTCAAAAATTGGGATTTAAGGGGTTTTGGAATTGTGAGTCTGTGAGAGTCAAAGGTGGGGCAGTGAAGGTCAATGATTGGGGGTGTCTGCTGTGAGGTCATGATTAGGATGATGAGGGGGTTGGAGACAAGCAATCTGGCAGTGTCTATGGACTTGAGTAAATTGGGGGGATGATCTTTGAGAGGCCTGACAAGGTGCTAGTTTGAGAGGATCTAAGGCCACATCTGGGCATCTGAGACGGGAAGCCTGGAAGGGGCATTTGAGATTGGAGGGCTGTCTTTGGAGGGGTCTGAGATTAGGGAAGTTTGAGACAAAGGGTGCCCTTGAGGGATTGGAAATTAATATCCTTTGGATTACATCCAGGGACTTCTTTAGTAAAGTCAGATTGGGGGTTTCTGGGGATGGTAAATTGATGGGCTTCCCTGGGGGCTCTGAGATGGAGGATATCTGAAATTGGGGGTCTGAAATTTGGGCCATTTGGGTGTACAAATGAAAGAATTCAATTTCAATTCAATCCATTTCAAATCTATTCTATTCAATTCTGACACCAGCTGTACATGTAGTACATTTTCCTCTGACCCTAACTACTCAGGGAGGCTTAGGTCAGAACTCACAAGTTAAAGGACATAGTCTTCCAGACTGCCAAGTGTTCTCAAGAAATCAGCTGCATGCTAGAGGGTCCCCACAACACCCTCACTTATGGACTGCTGGCTACATATTCAGGGGTTTCCCAGTACCCCCTCAGGATGCAAGCCATAAGCTCAAGGGTCTCCATGGGCCCCCTCTCTTCTGACCTGCTGACTCCCACTGCTCCCTCAGGCTCGATAATTTGTAGAACGACTCACAGAACTCAGGATGGTGCTAGACTTACAATTATGATTTTATTATAGCAAAAATGATACAAATGAGGAGATGTATAAGACTAGGTCTGGGAGGGTTCCCAATGTGGAGCTTTCATGTCCCAAAGGACTTGCTACCATCCCAAATGCTCATGTCTTTCACCAATATGGAAGCCCATGCAGTTTCTGTGTCCAGAGCCTTTATTGGGGCATCATTATGTAGGCATGATTGATTGAACTCAACCTCCAGTCCCCCACCCCTGAGGTCAGGCTAAAATCACATCTGGGCCTTTCTGGCCTAGCCAGCCCCTACTCAAGAGTCACCTCAATAGCATAATAAAGACTCCAATCATTTAGGAAATTCCCATGGTTATCTCTCAAAAACCAAGGACAAAGACCAAATTCTGTGGGTAAAGTTCATTGTAAACCCCACAAACGGGTTTGAAGTTTTGGATAATAGCTTTGGGAGGGGTCAGATTCAGGGTACATATGTCAAAGCCTGTGATTCAGAGGCATATTTGGAGGCCTTTCAGATGGAGGTTCTGAATGGGGTGTGTCTAGAATTTGGCAGGCATTTTGGGGATTCTGAGATTCAGGAGACTCTCTGAGGGGGGCTGAGAGTGGGAAATACCCTTGGGGACATCTTTGGGAGGGCCTAAGAGGGGGTTGGGGCCCCTGGGTGGCACAAACGTTAAGTGCTTAACTATTAACCAAAACATTGGTGGTTTGAACCCACCCAGAGGCACCTCAGAAGAAAGCCTTCGTGATCTGCTTACAAAAGGTCACAGCCTTGGAAATCCTATACAGTGCAGTTCTACTCAAGGGTAATTGGTAAGAGGGGGTTGAGGGAGGAATCAATACTAAGGGTTATTGAGAGTCGATGATTGGCATTGTCTGTGGAGCTCAGAGATCTGGGGCCTATGGGGAAGGGCACTGGTAGGAGATAAATGAATGGCAGTCTTGTGGAGGTTAGTAAGTTAGGGAACTACAGGTTTTAGTGACTGTGGGAGATATGAAGGTCAAAGCTTGGGGGTTGGGGGCTTGGGAGAGTATCTTTAGGGAGTCAGTATTGATAGTCTACGAAGGTCAGTGATTGGTTGCTTTGGGATGTGGTTGGGATATAAAGGATTCAATGATTGGAGGAACTTATGGAATTCAGTGATTGGAGGGGCCAATGGTGGTCAGTGACTGGGGTTGTCTTTGGGTAACAGTGATTGAGATCTGTGGGGTCTATACCTGTGGATGTCTTTTTGTTGGAGGAAGCTGTGAAAATTGTTTTTTGTTTGTTTTTGCTATTTCCATTTTCCATAATGACTTGAAGAGTCATGCCATTTTAATTCTATAAGTGGCTATAATAAAACTTTTTAAAAACTCTTCTTCAACTTGTGTTTATTCAGTGATAGTTGTAGAAGGACCTCAGATTTGTGTGCCCAACTCTTCTACCCTGGCAAACTACCACAATATGGCAGTCACATAATTCCCTTCTAGAATTTAATTTTGTGAATGTTAAGCAAGAATTTAATTTTTTTTCCCAAATGAATAGCCAACTATCTCAATATCACTTATTGATGAGTCTATTCTTTTTTCACTCAAGTGTCATTTTAATAGTATATGAAATTCTCACATATACATGTATCTGTTTTCTATAAATCCATTTGTTTCATCTGAAGTATACCAACTGTTTTATTTCCTACAGACTAACATTATAAAAACTTGGAGGGAAAGCTCCTTTTACTGTTTCTGATTTTCAATATTCTCTTGGTTATTCTTAGTATGCTAAATTTCATTTTAAAATCCTACTGAGTGACATGGGTGACAAAACAATCCAATGGGGGAAAGAATAGTCTTTTCAACAAATGGTGCTGGACAACTGGATATCCACACACAAAAGAATGATGTTGGGCCTCTATTTCACACCATATACAAAACAAAGCAAAACAAAAAAACCTCAAAATGAATCAAAGACTGAAATGCAAGAGCTAAAACTATAAAACATAGGAGTAAATCTTCATGACATTGGGTTAGGCAATGGCTACTTTGATATGACACCAAGGGGACAAGCAACAAAAGAAAAAATAAATTCAACTAAATCAAAATTTAAAATGTCTGTGCTTCAATGAACACTATCAATAAAGTAAAAAGACAACCCATAGAATTCTAGAAAATATTTCAAATCATTTATCTGAAAAGGGGCTAGTATGCAGAATACACAAAGAACTCTTACACTGCAACAATAAAAAGATAAATAAAAAAATCAGTTGCTATTGAGTCAATTCCAACTCATGGTGACCCCATGTATGTTGGGGTAGAACAGTGCTCCATAGGGTTTTCAGCTGTTGATTTTTCAGAAGTAGATCACCAGGTCTTTCTTTCAAGGTGTCTTTGGGTAGACTCAAGCCTCCAATCTTTTGGTTAGCACTACCTGGTGTGTTAGCCATTTGCACCACCCACAGACTTCAAAAACTCACTGAAAATGTGCACTTAGAACAGCTTTTATTATAACCAAATATATTCATTTGTAATAAATTATATTCAAAATAATTTTATAAACATGTCCTTAAAGGAAACAAACATTTTTGGATTAATAATTCCATTATAAACTTTTCTGTCAGTGATAACATATTTTTTCAGATTAATTACAAGAACAGGGCTTATTCTCAGTACAAACAGTATAATATTTAGTAAATGAGCATTTGGCTTAAGTTTTTCTTGCATAACAGTCTAGAGTTTCTTGCCACTGTGAGTGCTCAGGTGTAAGTGATGACTGATGACTGCAGACTTTTCCACTTTAATTACTCTGAAAGGATTTCATTTCTGAAATGAATTCTCTGATGTAGAATTAATGATGTACTATGACAAAAAAATCACATTTATTACACTGATAAGGTTTTTCCCCTGTATGTGTTTGCATATGTTTAGTAAGGGCTGAGCTTAAGCTGAAGGCTCTTCCACATTCATTACAGTGGTAGGGTTTCCCTCCTGTATGATTCTCGGATGCCGAATTAGTGATGTTCTATAGCAAAACAGTTGCTGGCATTCATTACATTGATAGGGTTTCTCACCAGAATGAATTTTTAGATGTTCAGTAAGGTGTGTGCTTCGGCTGAAAGTCTTTGCACATTCCTTACAAACATAAGGAGTCTCTCCAGTATGAATTCTCTGATGTTGAATGAAGGCTGGGGTATGGCTAAAGGCTTTCCCACATTCATTACCTTCATAGGGTTTCTCCCCTGTGTGAGTTCCTTGATGTTGGATTAGTGATGTCCTGTGTCAAAAAACCTTCTGACATTCCTTACACTGGTAGGATTTCTCCCCAGAATGAATTCCCTGATGTTCAATAAGATGTGTACTCCGACTAAAGGTTTTCCCACATTCAAGACACTCATATGGTTTCTTTCCAGTATGAATTCTGTGATGTTGAGTAAGAGCTGAAATATGGCTGAAGGCTTTCCCACATTCATTACAAGGACGGGGTTTTTCTCCAGTATGAGTTCTCTCATGATTTCTAAGGGATGATCTATGACTGAATGCTTTTTCACACTCATTACATTTGTAAGGTTTCTCCCCAGTATGGACTCTTCGATGTTGAATAAGATTAGTGCTCTGACCAAAGGCTTTTCCACATTCATTACATTCATAAGGCTTCTCTCCAGAATGTATTCTTTGATGTTCAATAAGATTGGTGTTCCAGCTGAAGGATTTGTCACATATTTTGCATTCATAAGGTTTCCCTCCAATATGAGTTTTCTGATGCTGGTTAAAGGTTGCAATACAGGTATAGCCTTTTCCGCATGCAATACACTGATAAGGTTTCTCTTGAATACAAATTTTCTCAGATTCCATCAGTATTGAACTATGGCTTTACACTTAAATTGTTTCCAGAATAAGTAAGGTTTGAGGTGCAAATGCATCATCTCTTGTATCTAATAAATTAAAATATTTTTCATTCATGAATTGCCTTTTAAAAAGCCAACTGAAATAGAATTATGCTTCAAGCTCCCCCCATTTATGTCACAACTGTGAGTCTTTTTCTTATAGGAACTCTTAGTTGTTTAAAAAGGGTTGAGCTCAGATTAAATATTTCCCCAAAATTATTACATCCATGATCTTCCTCTTGAATCAGGTTTTCATTGTAATCTGGTCATACTGTTTTTTTTTTTTTTCAAACTGGCCTTAAATTCTGATTATTCTAATGTGGAATATAAAAAAACCCATCATTTAAATACTCTTCTAGCATCATGCATGACACTAGTTTTTAGAAATGCTCTGCTTTGGAGTTGATGTTCTGACTTTGGGCATAGTATCCAGGATTAAGTAGAAGATACAACTATCTCTTCCTTCTGGTATCTAAGAGGGAAAAACAAGACTTATCATCACTTACAGAAAATAAAAATATGACAGTACTATAATAAGATGTAAAATAGTACAGTATACTTTCTGATTAATATAGCAGTTTAGAGAAGGAAATAATCAATATACATAGGCATGGTAAAGTAAATGGTAGCATTTAGGCAAAGTGCATAGTATAATCAAAGGTAAAGATACAGAGAATTATATCACATGATTAAAAGCCAATGAGACTAATTCAAATGAATGTCTTTGGAAAGCAGAGATAAAAAATAAGACAGGATAAATGAAAATGACACCAGACAATGGAGAGCTCAAAAATTAAGCAGAAAAATTCAATGTTATATAGCAGGGGATAGGAAAATTTGAATTCTCTGTCATTGTAGTAACAAGTTAAATATATATTTTAAATGAAAAGGCTTTTCTACTCTATCTAAAATGAATAATAAGAGACTAAGGGTAGCAAATTCAGCAAGACGGTATAATATAAATGATATGGGCTTGGATTGGGATACTACTAATAATAATTTAGTATAAGAGTAAAATATAAGACATAAAAAGGAAAGAACAAAAACTACTGACATTGACTACTAGCAATTTTCACAAAACAATATTCACAGAGATACAATGATCTGTAGCCTAGGAGGCTGGAAGAAAAGTGGTGCTAATAACAAAAATATTGAAGAAGGAACAATATGTTACCAAGGTAAAGTTGGTGACTTCAATTTTCACCATATTGAGTTTGAAGTGATTTAAAGTGAAGTAGGATATTCAAGTGGAGGAAGACTCTAAGCAGGGGAAACTAAGGTAACAGAATGCAAAATAGACATTTGGGCTGAAAAAATTATATCAGGGAGGTAATGACATGGAAAGACTATGTGAGGGTATCAGGATGTTTTGTAGTACAAAGTAAATGAGTAGAAAATAAACCTTAAAGGTACATGCATTTACATTAAGGAGGAACTGAAACTAATGAAAAAACATTTGGAAAGAGATTAGAACAGGCAAGAACCCGGCAATGTCACACAAGCAAAGACAAAAATATCAAATGCAGCATAAAGTATGAATACAGAAAGGACTATGAGCAGACTGCTATCAAGAATAATTCAGGAGTTACTTAAAATAATTTTAGTAGAAAAATAGAAGACGTTCAACTTCAAAGATTAGAAGAGAATAGGAATTAAGACTACTGGCTACAAGTTTGAAAATTTTGCAAGGAAGTGGAGAATAAAATTGGAAGGTACATAAAAATTAAATTATTGTCAGGCAAAGTGTTTTTTAAAAAGCAAGAAAAACTTCTGAATGCTTGAAAGTAGAAGGAAAGGAGCTGATGAACAGGGAAAGACTGAAGTATGAACAAATCATTAAAGTAAGGTCCTAAAACAAGTGGAAAAGAATGGAAGCTGGGGCACAGATGGGAAGATTAATTAACAATGGAAGAGGGCCATATTTTCCTCTGAGATCACATAGATATGTGAGAAAATGGATATAGGGAGAATAGTATGTAGAAGTTGTTCCCACTAGGTAAACCCACTCTTCTACATAGACAAGAGGGCTCTGCACAGAGGACCCTAACCAACATTTCCAAAGCTACCTCCTAGTACCACTATTGTTACTATCACCACAACGATGGACAGATGGACTATTACTAACGAGTTTCCTATCTACCTGGTTGTTACGTAGCCATATGATTCTTTCTTGGCTAAGTATTTTGTGACATTTCTCCATTTTTCCCCTCTGTTATATATTGATACAGTTCTTCCTACTCGGAAGATAACATCTTATTTAAAAAGCAGATGCCTTATACTTGGTGAAGGATATGGGTTTTGGTGTTTCTAATAGATACAACCAATCATCCCAGAAATGTGTCCTATGCAGTCTGCAGGAACTCTGAGATAAAGGACTGTTGATGCTTCCAAAGCAACACAATAATGCTATCTATTTACAGTGTTTTAAAGAAAAGCATTATCACTTGGTTAGTAATAAAAAAAAAAAAATCTTTTCTCTGTACACAAATAAAATTAAAACTATGGTCTTTAAACTCAAAGCCCAGCTGCAGATAGTCACTTGTAAATCATAGAGATTTTGACATTTGAAGAAATAGTCATTGCAATCTGTTGTCATTATAAAGCTGTACTTACACAATGAGACAAGGCTCCTGGCTTTTTCAAATCACATCCCTGTAAAGTACCTCTGGTAATGGCCTGGTTGTTTTCACCACTATGAAGTAAAGTCCACCAGCACATCTTCTAATGTTACTGGTTCCTAAAACATCAAACTCACTAAGGGATCATTAATGCAAACATTCATGAAAGAAAAGATAAAGCTGGCAACTGGATATGATAAGTGGAGGGCTAAGAAGTTATTCAGAAAGGGTTTAGGGTCCTAAGTTCTAGGGTGGCCAAAAGTACATTATTTAGTGCCTACAGATGTGTATCTGTTGAGAGTATACAGAGCAATACTGAGGTTTTACATAAAGTTTACCTCTAATAGGCAAAATATAAACTCAAGAAATAAAAAAGGTGTACAAATATCATCAGTCAATAGTGCAGACAAGGACTTAGTTACAACCCTATTGATGGTAACAATACATATAAAGAAAACGGATCAATCGAAAGTAAAGTGATTCTAACAGAGCATGGAAAAATGGGAATTAGAGATGCAAACATTAGTTGTTGTTGTGTGCTGTTGAGTCAATTCTGACTCATAGTGATCCTATAGAACTGCCCCATAAGGTTTCCTAGGCTGAAATCTTTATGGGAGCAGATTACCAGGTCTTTTCTCCCACAGAGTGGCTGGTGGGTTCGAACTGCCAACTTTTTGGTTAGCAGCTGTATACTTAACCATTGTGCCACCAGGGATCCTTAAACAGTAGTAGTCCCTTACTATTTAGTAATACACTCTCTCCTCACTTATCAACACGGTTAGGTTCCAAAGACCACGTTGTTACGTAAAATCGGTGTTACTCAAAAATGGAGGATGACTACATCATTACATAGCTGCCCAATTACATCATTACATAACTGCCAAATTACATCATCAGCACTTGCTGCTTCACCTTACCCTTTAATGTTATGGAGACGGCTTCTTTCCTTAAACCTCATGAACCATTCTCTGCTAGCTTCAAACGTTTCTTCTGCAGCTTCCTCACCTCTCCTAGCCTTTATAGAATTGAAGAGAGTTAGGGCTTTGCTCTGGATTAGGCTTTGCTTAAGGGAATCTTGTGGCTGGTTTGATCTTCTCTATCCAGACCACTAAAACTTTCTCCATATCAGCAATAAGGTTGTTTTGCTTTCTTATCATTTCTGTGTTCACTGGAGTGGCACTTTTAATTTCCTTCAAGGACTTTTCCTTTGCGTTCACAACTTGGCTAACTGTTTGGTGCAAGAGGCCTAGCTTTTGGCATATCTCAGCTTTTGACATGCCTTCCTCACCAAGATTAATCATTTCTAGCTTTTGATTTAAAGTGAGAGATGTGCAACTCTTCCTTTCACTTGAACACTTAGAAGCCATTGTAGGGTTATTAATTGGCCTAATTTCAATATTTTCATGTCTCAGGGAATAGGGAGACCCAAGGAGAGGGAGAGAGACAGGGGAATGGCCGGTCTATAGAGCAGTCAGAACACATACAACAGTTATCGATTAAGTTTGCTGTCTTATATGGGCATGGTTCGTGGTGCCCCAAAACAATTGCAATAGCAATATGAACTATCACTGATCACAGATCACCATAATAGATATTACAATGATGAAAAAGTTTGAAATATTTCAAGAATTACCAAAATGTGATACAGAGAGATGAAGTGAGCACATGCTGTTGAAAAATGGCACTGATATACTTGCTCAACGCAAGGTTGCCACAAGCCATCAATTTGTAAAAAATTTAATATCTGCAAATCGCAATAATGCAAAGCACAATAAAAGGAGGTATTTCTGTACCTAGGAGTGGAATTGCTGGGTCATATGGTAGTTCTGGAGCCCTGGTGGCATAATGGTTAAGAGCTCAGCTGCTAACCAAAAGGTCTGTCCTTTTATCTATAGTCTATTCTCAAATGGTTCCTTTAAAATATAAGTCAAATCATGTCACTCCTCTGCTCAAAATCCTCCTATGAAAACTGATTAAATGTCACCACTACCACCACTACCCTCTATAGCTTCCCTTCTCACTCAGAATGAACTGTCCAATCTGGATCCCTCTTGCCCTGTCTCACCTCAAAATCTAATATGCTTCCATCACTCACCCCTCTCTGTCCACACTGGCCTCCTTGCTGTAACTCACACAGTCTAAGCACACATGCACCTTGGGGCCTTTGCATTTGATGTTCCCTGTGCCTGGTAACATTCTCCCCCCAGATATCTGGAAGGCTAACTCTCTCAT